GGGGGGCGGCGGAATCCCTTTAGTTATAACGTGCCAAGTGAGATTGGTGACCAAGAGGAGGCTTAAAATACAAATCCAAACCGCTCTATCACATACGAGAAAGAAACATCTGGCTAAAAAAAACCCAAAAAAACAAAAAAACAAAAAAACGACTACGTAAGCACTGAGGACACTGTTTTTTGTTTTTTTTTTTTTTTTAAATGCATCTATATTTGGACAAAATGAACCTAAATTGCAAACAAAAGGACTACTTTTGAAAGGAGTATCTGAACATCTAAAGGACAAAAATATCAGAGAGGGTGTGCATGTGTATGTACAGGCAGGGCTGGCCAAAATCACCACGCCCCTGGCTGTCACTTTCCTTGCTGCTCTCTCCCCAAGCCTAACCACAGCTCGCATTTCTAGGTCCGGGAAACATGGCCAATGAGAGGAGACTGCTGTAAGAAGCGCCATTTTCCCTTCACTGCCCTGGAGATTCGATTTCTCCTCATCTGCCTAGGATTTTCGTGATACTTCTAAATTTAGGCAACAACTTCTGGGTTTATGAACAAATGGACCAATGGCCAGCCCAATACTACGTTAGTATCACAATATGTAAACCCTTTCAAATTCTAGATAGCTTTGATCTCTTTCTTTACAGACAGAATAATGAGAGTCTGGTGATACTTCTTATGGACCGTTTCCACCGTGCACATTCGCCAAGATGGTTTTTTGACTTAACTAGGTTCTAAAACATGACTATTTACCATCTTCCATTTTTTTTTTTTCTTCTCACTGACCATTTGTCTCACTTTTTAATCTTGGTAACCTACTCATCAAAAGAAAGAATAAAAGAAGGGAATTTCGTGTTGGATAAGGCAGGCTCTACGAAGTGTTTTTTTAATAGGTCTTCATAAGACATTACAAGCTATTGAATTCCCATCCAGAAAACCTATTTCTATTTAATTGTGCTAAGTGCTAAGGTTTCACTCTTTAGGTTTTCCATTTTTTTCCGCTTGTGCATTGTTCCTATGCAGGCCCCTCTGGATATGAGTCGTGAAGTCATATTTGTCCGTGCAAGGATGTTGGCATATGCTGCACTGGAAAGGTCCACTGTCACCATGGCAACTCATATGCAAAGCATACATCACTTCATCCAGAAAGACAATGCCACAGTGCACACATTTTGTTGAAAGTTCGTCTTGAGTACTTCTATCAACTTTCTCTGTTTTCACTACATTCAAAGGACCTTCACTTTTTACATTTGACGGTGCCTTCGTTTTCTCCTTGGAGGCACCATTTGCAGTTGGCCCAGGTCTGGAATGCTTGATCGCCAAATCTAGAGGAATGTCATTGTCTGATCCAACAGCTGAAAAATGAGGAGGCAGATTGAAGGTGGGATAAGGCACATAGTTTTGGCAAGGATTTGGTAGGCCAGGCACGTGACTCAAGTAGTGCGGATTCCCAGGGACGGAGAGCTTATATTTACTCCAGAACCGCAACCAATCAGCTTCACTCTGGAAGTCATTATGTACAAAGGGAAGTCCGAAAAGGGGGTACTGGTACTTTTCAATAGGGCTGCCTGGTGGTGAATAGTTCGGGTGTTTCGCAGGTCTCATGTACTTTTCTATGGGACTGCCTCTCTCAGAACTTCCTTTCCCTTCTGACACGGATGAACTGTTTCCTGGGTCTCCAGTACTTTCCTGAGGACTTTTTATCTGAATGTGCAAAGGTTGCATCCTTTTGTGAATATCCAGAGTTTGGCTGACCAGGACCGGCTGTTGAGCAGAATGGCTTTTAGTCAATGAACCCTGGGCTTCGTATTTACTCAGGCTAGGGAGTGGAATTTCTCTCTGGTGACCTTCAGTTAAATGATCTTCTGACCTCCTCTCTAAGGGGCTTCCATTGACCTGCTCCTCGCTGCCACCCCTCTGCTGTTTGTTGAGCTGCTCAGCCTGCAACGCCTCTGGGTTAAGGCGCTTTCTTGTCCTTCTCCTAATAATCTGCTCACCGTTGTTTTGTTTAATGATGTTTAAAGGCCTGGGAGTCTGCAGAGAACACACACGCACGATACATAAAAGGGAAATGTGAGAAAATACGTTAAAATGCATTAATGATTCCTCACAAATATGAACCACGTTTAAGTTCAAAGCAAGGGTAGATGTTATGTTACAGGTTTACTCAATCTCCTCCTCTTGCCCTAAGCAGGATCAGGGGCAGTCACCAAAGTACACTATTTTAGCCTAATTAAATCGTGTCCGACTTTGCAGGGAGGACTGAAAACTTTAATCTACTTAAAAACAGCTTTCCCAAACTCAATAGATTTTGGAGCTGCATCATTTAGTGATAAAACTGTGTAGCAAGTTCCTTGAAGAAACATGATTTTTCTGCAATATTTCTCAACTTCTGGGTCATGCACTAGGATGTCAATACAGGAACACGGGAGCTGGGCTTTAATGACAAGTGTGGTAAAATTATACATTGCTACAGACTGAACTGGGTCCCCTCATTCATATGTGGAAGCTCTACCCCACAGTGTGCCTGGATCTGGAGATCCGGTCTTTAGGAGGCAAATAAAGTTAGATGAGGACATAGAAGGAGGCATTCTCCAAGCCAGGAAGGGAGCTCTCCAACCAGAACCTGGCCACACTGGTACTCTGACCTCGGACCTCCAGCCTTGAGAACTGTGTGAAAATCTGTTCCATAGTTTAAACCCCCTAGGTCTATGGTATTTTGTTATGGTAGCCTGAGCGGATGAATACGTGCATTCTTCTAAATAACTGAAAATGTGAATATAAAGTATTAAATATCAGAGCATAAATAATCAAAGACAAATGAGCAGAACCATGAGGAAAGATATCGGGTAATCAAAGCCGTATCAGTGGGAGACTTTTTTTTTTTCACCTCTCACTTTTATTTCTCCTTGTTTAATAGGATTTTATATATCACTATGGAAAATTTTACTTGTTAACAGGTAAAGCATTTGTTTTCTGTTGAAAATCTAAATTCTTTTGTAGCTTTGGTCCAAATACCTGATACATCATTCTACTCTGTACTTAGAATGCTGGCTTTCACTCAGCTTGTTTTTTATTCAGCTTAAGCGTGGTATGATTGGTAGTTATGTACATGTTCAACAGGCGTTTATATCACAGGACTAAAACCCATAGATAACACTATGCCAAAAACTTTACTTGCAATGAGAGCTCTAACTTTGATTTATAAAATAAAAAGAATAAGTTTAATAAATTAATGCATATTTACAGGTTAAAATTTAGGAAACTCTTTAAGTGGGCTAAAACCGGGTTTTTCTAAAAGATTATTGAAATCTTCAAGCAAATACTTTCTACATAGAATGTAAATATATATATATGTATTATATAATTTGTGAATTATTCCTAGAAAGAATGCGCCTTAATGCAAGAGAGACCTTTTATACCTTAAACAAAATATAAATATAAATCCTTTTTGGAATATTTCTATTGTCACGGAGGCATTTTGAAGGCAAGAAAGATAACACATTTGTCACTGACAATTCAATTATTGGTTTCAGAATGAAAATGCCACATCCCTTGGATATGCCATATTCATTTATTTTGTTCAGAATGTTCAGGTTTATAAAGAGCTTGTATTTGTATTATGAGAATATGCAGTATTTAATATCTATCTATAAGGAAACTGGAGATTTGCATTAATACTCTTTTAAAACTTTTATAACTTTTGTGACAGTCTTTGACATGAGATGTGAGCATAACCTTTGTGTATTTAAATTTACGACGTAAAGAAACTCAAAACTGAATACATCTTGCCTCTGGAGAGATGAATATTAAAATAATTGTAAAAAAAAGAGCTTACTTTATATCATAGTTGTTAAATTATCATAAGCTGGAAGAGCAGTAGTTTAATTAATTCTTGGCCTACGATTGGCCAGAGTTCAATTAAAATCATTAATGTCAGTACTTATTAAATGAAAGCTTATTGCTGTGCTAAAATGGTGAAGGTGAAGCAAAAGGAAGCTGATGTGGTGGGGGGGGGAGGAATCTGTTAGCTACACGTAATAACTAAGGTTTTACAGTTTATCACCAATTAGTATCGTTGGCAGCATGCATTTTTTAAAGAGTGCTTCCAGTGGTCCATTTATGAGGACGTTTTGTCTAAAACTGTATTCCCTGTAGCTGTAATTTATTCATTGGCTGTGCTAAGAGCTATGGTAAAATGCCAAACAAAATGAAAAAGGCAGAGGGAAATGAATTTCTGTTTACTAAGTGGGGTATTCCTATTTTTAAAGGCAGCTCTTGTCAGCAGATAAACTTCCTAAAACTAAAATAAAATATCCTTCAGGACGTCAAATGCATATGGAGATGGGGGGAATTTGTGAGCTTAAACTTTATCAGAGGATTCTAACTAAAATCTGAGAAGAAAGTTCTGGAAGTATTTTGGTGAGCCACAGAAAGAAGCCAGCCAGAGAGTTTAAAACACAAAGCACCTTCGCACCTTACTCTACTGGGATGTGTGCTGTTGGGGCCCTGAGATACCTCACTTGAATATATCCCTCAGAAGAAGCGAAGAGATTGGCCTGGCATTCTCGGGTCCTAGTTCAGAACCACTCTTCTGAACGTGCCTAACTTCTAGCCCCCAAAGCAGCCAAGAGGACACTTGCAAATTCTGAAGTTAAAGTGAACATAAGCATTCTTTCCCTGCCCTGTGTTTATGTGAAATAGGAGAATCCTCTTTTAGAAACACTTTTTATGTATTTTCGAACTTTTAAGGTTTCTCCTTTCTGCCTAAATTAATTTCACCAAATTCTGATAACCATTAGTTCGACTATCTGTTATGGGAAGTTCCCAGAAATCAATCATTTTCCTCGTTTATACCAAAAGAAGCATAATGCATAACTAATGATCTCAAATATATCTCCCCATAACATCGAAGGCCATTTCACCATCAAGCACAGGTGCTCTCAAAGTGACTGTATTCAACTCTGCGGGAGCAGGCCTTGCAAGCCAGGGAACGGTACACATCCCACCACAGACCAGGCTGCTTTATAAAGCTTTTCCTCAAACAGTCTAACAAACTCTTACCGAGTGAAGCTTCTGGTAGAGGCCACACGCGTTGCATACATATCCGCCATTTGCATTCTTTCGCCAGAGAGAGGTCTTTGTGGTCAAGCAATTGGCACAAAAAACACCCGAGCCTCTACGCCTCTGAAACGGGGGGGAGAAAAACACAAGGTCAGGGGTGAGTCACATGATCAGTGGAGTTAGACCAAATCAACCCAGGAGTTTTGTCTTCAGATTGGCAACAGTGACAGTATAAAACCACACTGCCCATAATGAGGTCAGGTTCAATTGTGTTTAATAGGCACCACTGATTTTCATTATAATTAACCCTACAGTGATGGATGAGGTGTGTGCAACACCAAAGGCTTTTCCCAGAAACAGCTTTAACTTCTTGAACTTTCGGTTCTGTGCCTTTAATGATGGCTCCTAAATGCTGAACCCTAAAATATACCTTTTAAAAGTGTCACAACAGAAGTCGCAAGACAGAATGTGGCAATATGTTTAATATACTTCAGCAAAGGGGGGGGCCACAGGCTACCTGAGCTTTAAAAATATAGTCAAGCGTGGAATAAAGGCGGCATGGAAACCATTTAAAATTAAGCCCAATTTGTGTCTTTTTGGGGGGCATTCATGTAACACAAGTATTAAGAGAATATCACACACTCAATTCTAGTTTGGGGGGTTGCAATGGTAAACTTTGAAAGAGAACATCGTCTATTTCCCAAAGCTGAGGGGACCAGTCGAAACTTGCTGTCAACTTGAAGTACAGTATTACTGAGAGCGCTTAAGGGGTGTCCGCTGAAGCCAGACAAGCTAGTCCCATCAATGGCTATTTATTTTATTTGCCTCAGTCTTGGAAATCACAAGCGTTTCCGAATACAAATTGATTTTAGTGGGCTGAATTCTGTAATCACCAGATTCAAAAATAATCTAAGAATATTTAAAAGTAGATAATTAGTATTGCTTGTTCCATTCTTGCTATCAAGTAATGATTCCATTAAACCCATTGAAACAAAAGTCAGGCTGTGTTTGTAGGCGCAAATACTAACAGGCAGGAAATGAAATGCTCCTGCTGCAAGAAAAAAAAAAAAAAAAAGACAGCCTGAATTGCAACTTCCCTCTCCTTTCACTATGAAGCGAAGCCTTTAATGATAAAATATGCACGTTAGATAAGGAGTGGAAAAAATGTTGCTGGAACCCAATTTTATTATAAATTTAAAATTACAAATACCGTAAGTCAAAATTTCAGGGATTCATAAAATTTAGGCAATTTATTTAACTTGAGTCCATACTGTAGACCAGTGGTATCCCTGCCAAGAAAATACAATGGTTATAATTGTACTCTGATACATTTCAAATGGAAAGCTTTCTGCAGACATAATTTTGGCTTCAAGACTGGAACACTTTCTTGGCATTGAAAGGGCATTTGATTCATCGGGTGTTTCACAATGTATCACTAAAAAGACCTGGTGAGCAGCCAGTTCCCTATAGGGTAATTTTTCCATCCAGATGCAAGTGCTATCAGAGGCCCTCGTCAGCTAAACTAATTATGATCTTGCAATTGCTGATGCCTGCTCACTCTAACATTCGACATCCTCCATTAATCATCAATACAAGGAAAATGAATGAAACGTAAAGAAATGAGGGCTGGTAAGCTGCACAGCCATAAAAATCTGAAATGAGAGCAATAATTTAACAAGATCGGGGGAATGTTTTTAGTGCGCACAAAGTCAGGCTAACAATTGCCCTTTTCAACCAAGAACACGACTTCATTAGTGTAGCAGGTCGTGCTACTTTGGGTGATGTAATAAAAGCTAGATTTTTCACAAAGATAATCTCTGGCTCCCCTTTTAGTCCCTCTCCGCCCAAGTCAGGACCAGGAAGGAATGCATCATGGTTAGAGCAATGGCAAGTGCTGGGTGTCAGTCCACAAGTCCCAGTTGGGACCTCCTGCAAAAGCAGAGACTGCTCCCTTCTAAAAATCAATGAACTATTAGATGCTATGTTTATCAAACATTCCGGGGCCCCCTTTATCTGAAGTAAGCTGGGGAGCCTAGTTAGGTTATAATTGTGAAACTTCCCTGGGGCCACGCCATCTTTTTCCTAGATCTAAATAACACGTTTGGCAAATAAACACCAACTTGATCCACATAAAGTCAATGTAAATGTCCATTTGGAAACTAACCCACATATATGGCTGAGGCTCAAATCTGAATGTGTAACCATTCACTCCAGCCTGCTTTTCTTTCCTTATGCCCTGGGTGCTTGACACAGCATGCCAAAGTGGGTGTAATCCTGGTTTCTGAGAGCATTTCAATCCTTGCACAATTTTGTGCTTAATTCTCTTGCAAAGAAAATGCCCTTCATTAGTTAGAGGGAAGGTCCTAAAATTATAGCCCTGGTTTCCACAGGCATATCCTGCTTTAAGCAGCACTTAAGTTCCACTAAAGAGGCATATTTTGGGAAAACTACATCTTATTTTAAAGACATCAGGGGTACTCTGGATTCATTTACCCAGAGTCGGTATAGCATGGAGGTTAATAATCAGATTTAGGAGTCAGACTACTTGTATTCAAAACATGTCTCTGCCTTTTGCCAGGTGCAACTTTAGGCAAGTTACTTAACCTCTCAAAGCTTCAATTCTCCATCTTTAAAGTGTGAACCGCTGTAGTATGTGGGCAAATGGATGCAATTAAAACGGTTCCAGGGATGTAGTAAATACTCAGTAAGTTAGCTATTTGTAAAAGGGATACAGTTTTTTTTTTTTTTTTTTGGTAAGAGAAAAATACTTGGCTAGCTTTGTTTTCATCTCCTTAATCTACTTTTTGAGCATTATAGAGATGCTTAAGACATACAGTTGGATATTATCAAATGTATTTCATTTGTGTCAATCTTATCAAATATGAGAACGGAAAGTTGAGTCAGAGTGAAATATCTAGGTGTTCACACCTAGAATTCAATAGAGCGTACTTGTGTGGGGGTGGAAAGTAGGAGGGAGGTGAGAAATATTTCACATATTAAGTTAACTCCCATCTAAACACATTTATCGCTTTGGTAAGCACTGTACCACTTTAGTTTTGGTGCATTTGGAATTTCTGGAAGCAGCAGAGAAGGTGGCCTATGTGGATAGTATGCTTAGCTGTGTGACCACAGAATCGTAACTATGCCACATCTCTCTCAACTACAACACAGATGAGAGCCCTGACCTGGTCACTCTGTGTGTAATGTAACCTGGCTGGACACAGTAAAGCATCTTTTTGAAGTTATCAACATCCTTAGCCCAATCACGTGTAGAGAAGCAGGTCTGTTGCCAAAGGAAGGCGGAATAGAAGTCTCTCTTGCCCCACTTTTTAAAAAACACTCTTGGCCTTGTTAAAGAGAGAAAGAAAGGCACCGAAGACTTTATTTCATTCATAGTTTATCATGCATGACAGAGTTTTAAAATATTTTGTCATTCTCCTTTAGACTGTGTGTGTTAAGGACGGAAATCATGACTCCTAATGGTCATCAAATATTCTAACAAGCACCCAGTGCTCTGTCTTGAAAGACTAAACATTAATAAAGTTGAAAATAATCTACTGGAATTAAAAGAAAAGAAGGAATCTCACCTGCTATTATTTTTTTTTTATCATTAATAGTCACTCCCATTTTTGAAAAAAGTTTTTAAAAAATATTCCTTCTAAATGTCATCCATTTGGATTGACAAATTTATTTCCAGTTGGGCAAAGATGACTAATGATGTTGTAGAAAAGAAACAAGAGAAAAGAAAATCAAGACTGTTCCAATCCTACAATTCACACTTATTTTGGAGGAACAGTTGAAGCCAGGTACTTGCTAGATCCTGACGATACAAAATCAGGTAGAACAAGACTCCAATTCTCCTTTATATACATCATTATGGTCCTATGTTGTAGATGTTTCTATATGTGCACATGTGTGTTTAATAATAAGATGACTTCTCCTTTTCTACAAGCTGGGTTTTTTTTTTTAATTTTTATTATTTTTTTGAGAGAGAGAGAGAGCGGGAGAAGGAGAAGAGGGAGAAGGAGAGAGAGAATCTGGACAAGACCCCCTGCTGAGCACGGAGCCAGACATGGGGCTCGATCCTACCACTCTGAGACCATGACCTGAGCCAAAACCAAGATCCAAAGCTTAACCAACTGAACCCCCCAGGTGCCCCCAAGTTGTTTAAGAGTTAATAATATTTTGTATCTCCATGACATTATGCAGGAGAGAGGAGAATTGAGTCACATAGACAAGGTCCCTTCTGGAGAGTTCATGAGAGGAATCCGAGCTAGGGGATGATACCATTGATGTACCTGAGGGGCATATTTAGCATGATTCTTACGCTCCTCTCAGGCTTGTATATCTGAACACAGACCCACTGCATTCTCTGCCCTTGGACTTCTCCAAGTGCCCCTTCTACTTCTTTGTTGCCTTAACTGAAGGAAAGAGTGAGGGAAGGTGGGCCACAAATCCAAATCTACAAGAAAAGCACCTCAAATGAAAATTTCTAGAGAAAATTCCAGAAGCAACAATTCAGGGACCTGTTTTTTTTTTTTTTTACTTCAAGTTTTATAGCTTGCCTAGTAACTTTTAGGTCACATTTGTGTTGTCTCTACATAATTTCTGTTGGCTGATAATTTGCTGTGTGAAAAAGTAAGGGTGGTGATAGAAATGGTTAATTGCAAGGATTTTTGAGGCCAGCCAAAGGCTAGCAAGTAGTTTTCAGTGATAACTACTGAGAATTCTTGGGGATCACTTGTTTCCTTTCCACGTTTCAAATGTATTATGACCACAATACTGATTTTCAAAACAGCAATTTAGGTGATGAATTTGGACAATCACCCATGTTAGGATTTGAAACAGAAAATGACATACACATCTTTTAATATAAGTACACTCTAAATCCAACATAATTTTTTTCCCCTGCTTTGAAGGGCAAGAAGTATAATGACTAAAATAACGGATCAAACAAAAAAAAATTAATTTAGGTTCACAGCTAACCACTGTGCAGTATCACTATCATCAAATTTTTCTGAAAGCTTATGGTTCAAATCTTGCTTTAAGGGGCTTCATTCTTTTTTTTTTAAATATATATATTTTTTTTATTCGACAGAGAGAGACACAGCGAGAGAGGGAACACAATCAGGGGGAGTGGGAGAGGGAGAAGCAGGCTTCCCGCGGAGCAAGTAGCCCGATGTGGGGCTCGATCCCAGGACCCCGGGATCATGACCTGAGCCGAAGGCAGATGCTTAACGACTGAGCCACCCAGGTGCCCCTAGGGGGCTTAATTCTTTAGTCAGTTATAGATCAGCGGGTTGAGCCTTGGCACATGTATTGGTGAACCCAGATGTGTCTTAAGAAAAAAAATGAAAAAAAAGTTTTAAAATTGGTTTAGCTGTTTCTATTACTTATATTATTATTTAAAAATCAGCCCAAAACAAATATTTGAATCAGTTTTCAAATTTCATTAACAAAGAACTGATTTCATTTGATTAATAAGAAATAAATTTGACTGAATTATTCATTCAAGTGGCTTAACATTTAGAGACATGGATATTTATCTGCAAGAGATTAAAGTCTCCATTGGAAAAGGAGTTTGTGCAGAAATGATCCTTTATATTAGTGTTCTATGTATAAGAACTATACTGAAACCATGTAATTACATAACAAGCTTTGATAGGCAGAGTATTTACTCACATTTTTTATGGTTTTTATATCTTAGCCATTTTAAATCAAATCAATCTGAAATTTGACATACATGCTGTTAAGGCAGATATATCTCAAATATTTTTTAACTTTAAGTAATTTCTGTGTTTACTTGATTATATCAAGAATCTTTTGCAAACTTCATTTTAGGGACATGTACAGATGGCTGTGATAGAAACTTCTGGTACAATTTTGCAGTAATAAAATTTCAATGGTAAATTTAACTCCTTTTGGTTTTGGGAATGGAATAATTATTGAATGTCCAGCATGTGCCTGGCACCAAGCTACCAACTGGGGGTTATAGTGATGTATATGACAAACATGGTCTATAATCTAGGTTTCCAGTAGAATGTGCTAAAAACACACTAAGTGTGGAGTTAATGTGACACAAATTGAGATGTTCATAAACACTG